ATACTGTAATTTATCGTTGTTTACTAGTGAAAAGGTTAATTAGCAGAAATATCTCTAACTGTTTAAGATAAAAATAAATTAGCCTTTTTTGTGTGGAGATTGGTATTTTCTACGAAGGAAAGGACAAATGTATATCTCCAACTAGGAAGACATCTCTAAAAACAAAAAACTAGCATTGTCAATGACACAGAAAATTGTTAAATTATTCAAATCAACTGGAAGTATTATACAACAAAGATACAAACATAATTTTTAAGATAATATATGAAATGTATTGGCTATTAAAGGGATTGAAGTGTGTTGATGCGTGCGAGGATGAAGGAATGAGATTGAAGGTAATGTAGGAAGTGGGTAAAAAGGTGAGGAAAGGTTGGCGGCGTTTCGTCTCAGAGTCGCTTGCCTAGGGGACTCATATCACAGTAGGGCTGATGGCAGCGACCCCTTACCCCAGATGCTTGTTATAACTACTACTCGCTAGGCTGGACTCGGTCACCCATCCTTAGCGGTGTTCCGCACTCTGTTTAACATCGAAGATCGCTAAGGACTTCGACGCTAGGTGCACAGCCATTTGCGGCTTGTACAAATCGGTGTTCGAAACTCGTACTCGAGGAACTATAGGCCGCGCTACAGCTATGTATTTTGTGCAGTTGCTAATAATTGTCTTTTGAATAGAACTGTTTGTAAAATTCTGAAATAATAATTTCAGACCATTTAAAATTACAAGTGTATAAAGTTTTGCCTTGTGATATTGGATCACAATCATTAATACGAAATTTGTTCGAAATATAATAATGATGACAAATGTAAGTATTCTTCACATTAACGAAATAATTTATTATCAAATGTGTACATTGGTTACAGAAAAGAAACGTCATTAATATTATCAATTACTCATAATCTCGTGTAATATACGTTATAGAAAATAATAAGACCATATTTTTTTGAAGGGAGCGTTTATATTGATAAATATTTGATAGTTTTAGAAACATATTCCAAAGATATTTTACACACTCGTTAAAAGTGAAATAGAACATATGGTTCCAGCACGATGGTGCTTCATTACATTATCCGATGTCAATAAGGAATTGATTAAATGAAAATTATCTAGACACAATTAGATCAGATGTACTTGACCATTTGCATAGCAATGTCTTCTGTTAGTTCCAAATTGATTAATTTTTGATTCGCCCAAAGAAAAGATTTTCCAATTTTTAGAAGTATTAGCGAATATTAATTGAGCTATTCTATTTTTTTAAATTAATTAATGGTTTTTTAAATATTAACTTTATTAAAAAATCCTACATTGTATAAGCTTTTTAAGGCTGTACACTGACTCACATTAGCAACGTTTTCTTCCTATAATTAATTTGTGATATCAATCGTTGTTTTCTTTAGGTCCGAAATTAATTTCGGATTGATTCAAAAATGAGTTTTATAATTTCAATTCTTTTCGTGGTTTTTTTTTTATGGTTTTTCACGGGCGATCTACTAGCCGTCATAATATCTTTTAATTATATCATTTACTGTACTTTCCCTGACAGACAACGCAATTTTACGAGATGCCTTTTCCACTTCCGACAACTTTATCACAACTTTGTACATTTTAATAGACATCTCTTGGACCATGTTTTCGTTTTAGCGACTAGCTATCAACTGAAGTAATTTACATTACAATTCTGCGAAATGTAAATACTCACTGATCTTTTACAGACTTATAACACATACTGGTTGGGAACTTTTGAACGCACTAATTTAGATATTCTTTAAATATATAAAAATAAAGACAAAATAGTTGATTTCTTTTGCAGTATTTATCCACATAAATATACCTTTATTTATTATATTAACAAAAAGGCCTTAAAAAAACTTTTCTTACCAAGGAAAAATTGCAAAAATGATCTGGTTGAAAACATCAGTGTATTTAAGATCGAATTCCTTTTTAACATAAAGAATGCTGGTAGATACATTAGATTGGTAAAGAACGCTTCAGAATTTAATCTACGCGTCATATTGTAAAGTGGGTAGTATATTTGTTTATATAGTGAATTTTGTCCATTTCGATAAAATTTTTTCCTTCAAGGTTTTATTATATGATATTGTATAAAACGAGAAATCAGCTAATGAAAAAAAGCTAAAATATTATTATCTTATAACTTTCGAAGAACGCGCGTTTTGGGTAGCTCAGGTCGGTTAGAGTCGCCTACCATTGACATGAATTGACAACATTAAATCTTTTGTACATTTATTATTAATATTTATTAAATATTCTTCCTAGATTAATTTATGATCAAAGTACACACATATACAGTGAGTCACAGAAGTATTCGTACCCTTCCTATTGTTCACTTTGAATGATTGCTATTTATTTATAATGCATTTTATAAAATTCTTATAATGGACACTGTATATTGGAATAACTAAGCTTTCACTATAAAACACTATACATTTTATTGTAAAAAAATATGTTAACATAACAAACATGTTTAGTTAAAATTGAACAAAATTCGAATTACAGAAGTATTCGTATCGAAGAAATTATTCAAATTTGAAATCAAAATATTTACAGGTACAAATATCGTTATTCTATGTATTAATATAATTTATATATAATGTCAGTACATAGTATTACATTGCCAGAATCAATACGTGTCGAAAATGAGCCGAAGTTTCGTTATCTGAACGAAGACTAATTTATAATTAGTATATTGAAGGAAAGTCTTACTTAAGAATTTCAGAATTAATAAAAAGAAGTAAGTCGACAGTGCAATACATGATAAAGAATGTTCAAGAGGAGATGTGTTAAATAGACAACGCAAAGGAGCTCCGAAGAAACTAACTTTGAGAGGAGAAAGAGCAGTAATTAAAGAAATAAACAAAAATCCGACTATTAGTGATTCAAAGTTATCAGCGTTCGTTTTAAAATCATTTAATAAAGAAGTGTCTGCAGAAACTTGTAGAAGAATTTTACGAAAAGAAGGTTTTAATGATAGAATTGCTAATGCTAGGAAAAACCTTTTATTAATTAGAAGAACCGTACGAAACTTTTACAATTCGCAAAAGAATATGTTGACAAAGATATTAACTTTTGGGAACACGTCATATTTTCAGATGAGAGCAAGTTTAACATGTTTAATTCAGATGGACGTACCATGGTATGGAGGAAACAAAATACGGAGTTTGAATTAAAAAATTTAAAAGGTACTGTCAAGCAAGGAGGGGATTTCGTCATGACATGGGGCTGTCAATGGCGTTGGTGATCTAGTTTTTATTGACGGAATAATGGATAAGGAGTATTATTTAAACATTTTAAAGGGTCATTTGTCATCAAGTGCAACAAAATTGCAATTGGAAATTAATTATTATTTCCAACACGACAATGATCCGAAGCACATAGCTTATATTGTTAAACAATGGATCTTATGTAATACTCCACATGTTTTACCAACATCACCCCAAAGTTCCGACGTGAAAACTATTGAGAATTTATGAGCACAGATTGAAAGAAGATTAAAAAAGTTTGAAATTATTAATAAAGAAATATTAAAAGAAAAAATTGTAGATATTTGGAATACGTTAAAAAAAAAGAATTTTCGAATCGATGTTAATATTGTCTTTTTTCTTTCTTAGAAGCAGAATAAGTTTGGATGTTTTGACACTCTATACATACGCATAATTAATCTGTATATATTATTGACTACTTACTTTATGTAAAACAGAAGTCATGTCATTAGTTTTCATATACAGTGGCTCACGAAAGTGTTCGAAGAAGTACAAATGAAAACTAAAACAAGAGAAATATGTATGTTAGACTTAAAGTTTGGAGATAATACTATAAATACTATCAGATGCAAGTATCAAAGTAGTACATGTAAAATTTTAAATCAATCGAATTATATATGTAGAAGTTATGAAGTATTTGCTATACAGATGTATTGTAAGGGGCTCACGAAAGTGAACAATAAAAATAATTTATACCTTGCTCTATATTAATATTTAATCGGGCTTTCTTTCGCCTTGATTACTTCAACCAGACGTCGCCCCATGTTGTGCACCAAGTTTTTCAGTCACTGGGCTTAATGAAGTTCCATATTTCTAAATATTTTTTAATCTTCTGCCAATTTCCTCTCACAAATGTTCGAATCGGATTTTAATATCCGCACTTTGTGCTGGTATACGCAGCGTATGGGGTATATTGTCAAGTAACCACTTAAGGGTATGAAGTGTTGATGATAGTTAAGGAAATTTAAGGATGTATGTGAGAATGTAGGAACGAATGCAGGAAGTGGAAGGTAATGGGATAAGGATGTAGGATTTGGGTAAGGTGAGGAAAGGTTGTGCGTTTCGTCTCACAGTCGCTGCCTAGACTCATCTCAGTGGGGCTCTGAGAGCAGCCACTCCTTTTTTTTTTTTTTGTTTATTTGCTAGTTGTTACACGTGCAGTCCCTGGGCTTTCCTTGAAGCCCTGTAACCTGCATTTGTTATGATTAGTTAGCTGTTAGTTTTTTCCTTTGTCTGGTTTGATTTAATTTGTTTTGCTGTGTGTTTAGGGTTTCAGGAGAAAATTTTCAAAAAACCTGCGTTTCGTGAGAGACGAAAATGATGTGGAGAGTTATTGTGTGTCTTATTAAACTAGTGCATGTTTTGGTAGTCTTGCTTTAATTTTTAGAGGTGTGTTAGCCGTCTCATAGTTTCCAATGTTTCTAATAAGCGGGTTCGTGTGATTTTCGTTATATGACTTGGTGAGAGATTTTTTAACGTATTCTTTGATTGTAGGAATGTTTGCTATTGAGTGCAATGTTTTAATGAGGGTGCCATAAGGTTTATCCAATATGATACGCAAAAATTTATTTTGCATTATTTGCACTTTGTTGATATGTGTTGGCTGCTGCTGCCCATATTTGATGACCATATGTTATGATTGGTCTGACACAGGTTTAATTTTGGTTTTTAGTCTGCTATTTGTAGATATCAGGGGTATTTGGAGTGCAGGGTAAGCTAAGTTAGCTCTTTTTGCTAGAGAAAGTGCCCACATGATTCTGATCGAGGATGATTCCGAGGTACTTGGCGGCGTGTGTCCATGAGATGTTATGGCCAGTGATTTTGATGGTATCAAGTGTTTTGTTTCTTTTGTTTGAAAAGGCGATCGCTTGTGTTTTGATGGAGTTTATTTTCAGTTTCCAATTCGTGAAGTATTCCTGGAGTTTGTCTATGTGGTTCTGTATGTATTTAGTGGCTTGTGTAGAGCTCCAGGATGATGCATATATTGCAATATCGTCTGCAAAGATGGCTAAGTGGGTTTTGTCTGTGTGTGGGATATCGTTTATGTATATTGTGAGTAGCGGTCCTAGGATTGATCTTTGTGGCACACCTGCAGCTATTTGTTTGTGGGTGGATTTGTTTCCGTTTATTGTAACATAGAATTTACGATTTCTTAAGCAGCTTCGGATCATGTTTATCAAATTTGGGGGAAGTTTAATATCCTGTAATTTTGACAATAAGGCTTTGTGCCAGACAGAATCGAAGGCTTTGTTTAGGTCTAAGAGTATTAGTTGTGTGGTGTGGTTTTTGTTCTTTTCCATGATAATATGTTCTGTGACTCGCTGTAGCTGATGTATGGCAGAGTGTTCTGATCGGAAATCGAATTGCTGTGGGATGATTATGCTTAACTTCTGAATATGTTTTTGTATTTGGTGCTGTATAATTTTTTCTAAAATTTTTCCAAAAATATCTAGTAGGCTGATGGGCCTATAACTAGATATATCAGATCCAGGTTTGCCGGGTTTAGGTACGGGTATGATCTTCGCGACTTTCCAGGAAGAGGGAAAGTAAGCTATTTGCAGACAAACTTTGTAAATGTAGTATAGCTGGACTATCGGTTTTTTTGGGAGGTTTTTGAGTTTTTCGGCTGTAATACTGTCAGGTCTCGGCGCTTTGTTATTGGGAAGGTGTTTGATTATATTGCGGATTGTATTAGGTGTGCAGTGGACACGAGTAGGTGGGATTTCTTGTGGTAGGGATTTTTTGAGGTGGGATTTCTTGTGAGTGTTGCTTTACGGTTGACGAGTTTTTCTAGTGGAGAGTATTGAGTGTAGGCAGCCATGTGTATGTCATGGAAATTTTGGGCTAAACCTTCTACTTTCTCTTCGTCTGTATATAGCTGCTGGTTGAGAGCGGTGTCTTGGAGAACAGATATTTTAGCTTTGGAGCCACCAGTGTAGGTGGTCCATAGCGTGTTGTCGGTACATTTGATATTGGCCAATTTATCCTGCCATGCTTTGTTTTTAGCGTTAGTTATTATTTTATGAATTTTAGTGTCTGAAAAATTTGTAAGTGGGATGTTCTTTGGTACTCCTTCTCATTTTATTCCTATCTTTAATTGTTTTTAAGAAGAGTGGATCGATCGGGATTCTGTTTGTTACTTATTTGGAATTATTTGTGTTGTGTTTTTGTATGCCTTTTGTATGTGTCGTGTCAGAGCTTTGATTTTTGTGTCTATCTGTATTTGGTTGCTTAGGTGCGGATTTATGACAGTGTTGCTGCAAAGTTTGCTGATCAACTTCCAGTCTGTATTATTTGCCGAAGAGGATTTTGTAGTTTCCTTGTGCGGCTTTATTGTTAATTTTACCGGTAGATGGTTGGAAGGGAAATCATCAATGGTTTGGCAATTGTAGGAATATGGTATATCAGCGAGGAAGATGTCTATGTTTGATGGAGTACAATTTGGCTTCTTGTGTGTATAAGTTGGACTATGTATGATTTGATAGTTCCTTGTGTCAGCGTGTTTTCTGATTTTGGATCTGTTTGTGTTTGGTTATATTGTTCCATAGGGGGTGTTTGGCGTTGAAATCACCACCAATGATGAAATGGCCTGCTTGATGCGGTGGGATGATGTGGTCTAGATCTGTTGTGGTTATTCTGGTTTTAGGAGGGGCGTATGCGGTTCCTATCGTTAGTGGGGGTGTGATTTTCAGTTTTAATTGGATGGTATCTATGCTCGATGTAGTTTGTTGAGGAGTATCTTCAACAGGGATGTTTTTTTGGGTTGCTATTAATACGCCTTCTCTTGGTTTGTTTTGGTTTGTAGGAATTCCGTCCTTTCTGTAAATGTTGTAATTTCTGAGTCTGATTTTATCCGAAGGTGTAAGCCACGTTTCAGTTATTATTGCTATATCTGTGTTTTGTACGTCTAGAAAGTTTTGTCAGCGGTTTTATTTCTAACGCTGGTAGCATTCCATAAAATAATGTTTAGTGATTTATGGGGCTGATCACTCAATTTTGTTTCACTGATTTACTATCACTGAACTCACTGAACTCACCAATGCTCTATCCTTTCAATGATCTGATGACTGTCTCATATAATGTCCAATATATGAATCAACTCAATAGCCAGCGACTCCTTACCCCAGACGCTTGTTGTTATAACTACTCGCTAGTCTAGGCGACGGTCATCCATCCTAGAGCGGTGTTGCACACTCTGTTTTTGCTTAACATCGAAGATCGCTAGACTTCGACGCTAGGCGCACAGCCATTTGCGGCTTATACAAGTCGGTGTTCGAAACTTGTACTCGAGGGACTATAGGCAGCTATACACTCGTACAATCCTAGCCTTGTGCTTGGGATTGTTATCTTGTTGGAAGTTAAAATTTTCTAGTAGACCCAATTTGGAAGCACTTTCTTTTTTAAAATGTGTAAATACATATGTTTGTCTAAAGTACCATCTATAAAAATAAGATTTCTGGCACTATTTGCTGCCATGAACCCCCAAACCATCACCGAACCACCACCATGTTTTACTGTTGGTTGTAAATTATGAATATCCATTTCCTTATTCAGTTTCTTCCACACATAACGTTGATCATCGGACCCAAATACATTAAATTTGCTTTCATCAGAGAAAATGACTGTGTTCTAAAAATCATTATCTTTACTTTCATATTCTTGTGCAAATTTTAATTGTTAGCTCTATTGGTCTTCCTAATGAATGGCTTTTTCCTTGCTACTCTACTATGAAAGTTATTTTTTCGGAGTATTCTGTGACATAATTCGGGATGTACATTTTTTCCAAAGTAATTATTAATCATTAGAGCAAGCTTTGGTGCCTTGGATCCTTTTTTATTTCACGGATTACCGGATCCTTTTTTATTTCACGAAGAATAATTTTTTGTTCTCTTGCACTTAATTTGTTCGGTCGATCTGTACGTTGTTTGTTCGCTACTGTACCTTCAGTTTTAAATTTTTTTTATAATATAGTGCACTGTTAACACACTTCTGCTCACACATTCAGCAATTTGCCTATAAGATTTTCGTCTTTGTGCATTTTTAACACAATCTATCTCGCACATTTTCATTTCTGTTCTTTTTGCATTTTTACTACAAATACGGCGATGTTTAGTTGACGATATAGAATGTACTACACGATGTCTAAAGACAGACTGACCAATGTTTACATCTTCTAAATGAAAATATTGTTTTTTCCATTGACCTCTACGCGTTCAAACACTTTTGTGACCTCATTAGTACATCTGTACAGCAAATACTTCATAACTTCTACATATATAATTCGATTCATTCAAAATTTTACATGTACTATCCTGATACTTGCATCTGATAGTATTTATAGTATTAGCTCCAAAACTTAAGTCTAACATATATATTTCTCTTATTTTAGTTTTCACTTGTACACGTTCTAATACTTTCGTGAGTTACTGTATATTTGTGGAATGGCGAATTCTGAGATAAGGCCCAGAACTTTCTCCATTGCCCAAGAACGAGACAATTGTCGCCTGTGGAATGCGACTTGGGATGTTTAGAGCGAAAGTTAGGTCTAGGAATATTTGAGTCGTCCAGGCTTAAGTCTTATGAACCTAGGTCTTATAAATATTGAGGGTACGAATGTTATGTACATGAGTGTGAGAGTGATGAGAGCTTCAAGGAGATACATCAAAAAGGAATTCGCAGAGAATAGCGAGTCATTATAGAGAGTAAAGATCACAGAGAGTAGCGAGTCGCGAGAGGGTAAAGATCATAGGGAGTAGTGAGTCGCGAGAGAGTAAAGATCATAGAGAGTATCGAGTTGCGAGAGAATATAGAGTATAGCGAGTGAGAACGAATTTTAATTTTAATCTTTTTGTTGCCGCCACATTAGTACTTTTTCTACCAAATCCCTATTTTAATAAACTTTTCAACTTTATTTAACAACGTAGAATAAATGTTCTTTATTTTATTCCTACTATATTGTATCATAATATCAAAATATTCTTTATTTCATTCCTATTACATTGGAATTCAGCTGAGATTCTCACAAAATTGGAGGCTCGTCCGGCTTTTGTTGTTTTTATTATTTTTCTGATTTTTACAGTGGAAGAATGTTTCTCTAAATGTTAATCTACTAAATTGAAGTATATGATGCATGAATATATCAAGTATCATTCAAGGTTTATATTTATCTAGAATAAATATTTTCTTCTCTGCGTCACTACGTCAAATTTATAGAAATCTTCAAGATGTGGTTTGAAATCTATATGTAAATTTTTCTAAAATTCCTATATGGAATAAGTTTTTTTAGATGTTAAATTCTTTTATTCACTTCATCCATTAAAAAAAGTTATTTTGAGAAATGTTGGAATTTCTTTTTTTTATATATTTGAATTTATAACATTTCATTTAAATTGATTAAATTTTATTCATAATATTTTTTCTATTAAAAATATCGAGTATAGAAGAACCCCGTATAGAAGTGATATTGCAGATACATTAATAAACTTAACATACAGGGTGTCCCAGTTTTTTCCCGAAAAACTTTACCAGCATATTCTACAAGTAAAAATAAGAAAAAAATGTTATATGAACATTGGCTTTTAAATGCTTTGTTAAAAAGTTATAATAAAAATACGAAATGATAACGGACTGGTGTTTCGTCGACATAGCATACGATCACATTGCCATCTATTTGGTATGTTTCTATAAATTCGAATTTTCACTTGCTGAGGCCGTTGATTTAGTCGTTGGGTCGTTTGGGCGTTTGAAGCTACAAACCTAGAACCTTCAAAATGAACTTGAGCCAGAATTGGTAGGAGATTATTATTTCGTCAAAATTTATGGATCCAATTAAACGGTTGTCCAGTACATTATGCAAGACCAGTAAGACAATGGTTAAATGATCATTACCCACAATGGATAGGTCGAGAAGGACCAATTCCCTGGCCGTAAAGATCACTAGATATCACGCCATTGGACTTGTGGGGAATTGTGAAAGAGATAGTTTATCAAACACAAATTAATATGTTGCATATAATTTGCTGCAATTAAGCAAAGCGAAGAAGACATTAATAATGCAATAGAATCAATTTTCTGTAGATGTCAATCCTACATTCATAACAATGGACGATATTTTGAAATGGAGTTATAGTATAAGCCGACAATGCGGTATGGATCAAGAAAACAGTCCGTTATCATTTCGTATTTTTATTATAACTTTTTAACAAAGCATTTAAAAGCCAATATCATATAACATTTTTTTATTTTTACTTGTGTAGAATATGCAGATAATGTTTTGCTGAAAAAACTGGCACTCTGACACTGGCAAACTGACACTCTGTATATATATTACAAAAGATGCGACGACCATGAAACTCTACAAACTGTTAGTAGTAACAGCATGAGGAGAACTATACCTACACGCCATTTCAAACGGAAGTAAATGTGGTTGTAGAATGGGGCAAGTTGCACCAGGTGGTGGAAATTTATGCCTGACCTTTTCGACTTTCGAAATATATTTGGATGGAGTTTGGCATTGTATCTTTCGATATTTTTGATACTGGTTCTGGATTTCTATATGAAAGTTTTCATTTAAGACAACTTTATTAAAGGTATTAAAAATGTGATCGGTCAACACTTTTGTGCGGAAACAAGTCAGCTGTTGAATTCTGGCTCGTTGTTCCGCGCTATGTACTGTGTAGAGACGAAAAGAGGTCACTCTTTTTAAAAGAAAGCAATGCTAGTCTAATTGACTAGATTCAATACAATGGATAAAACCGCGCCTATGGTTCTCTCAATTACCATTTCCAATTAGCTGGGAGTAGTACCATTTCGTCTTTGCGACCTATTGGTGTTTCATTTCTTCAGGCATTGAAGATTTCCATTGAAAAAGTATCGTCTGCAACATGAACTAGAATATCCAATCTAAATCGATCAAAGTCATTACTTCCTCGTAGAAAATGTTACAGTGTTTCCGGACAATCCTAATGGCCATACTCCTCTGCAATCTTCGCAAAGATTTGTGCGACTGTGCTTATTAACCATTATGTCACCCATCCACACTGAGGCTCAATAAAGAACCATTAATCATATTATCTCTGTACAAATATGGTGAATAATCCTATCAGATTCTCTATAGTTGGGCAACAGTTAATTAACAAAGGAAACTACCAAATCCGCAATCGCCGATTTTGATGAAATTTGGCATGAACATAGTTTTTAAATAAATATTTGACCCGTATTCTTTTTCATCGGCAATGGGCGATATTGAAGAGGTGAAAACTGCCTTCAAAGTTGGGGATACGAAATATATTTTATTAAATATCTCGGAAATTACTGAAGATACTGTTTTTATGTAAATTAATGAAATTATTTTTTTTGTTTTTTTATTGACGAATTTAATAGTGTATACCGTTTTGCAAAAAAATCTTTTGTTTCAATAATATATTTTTGATAAGTTTTTCCAAGTGAATGTTAACAAATTTTCTTAAATATTTATTTATGAATATTATATATTCAGATACAAATTACGGACAAAATGAAATCTTGATTTTTTCATTATAAAAAAATTCATTATTTTCAAATCTTTATCGCTGGACGTGCAAAGCAGAGTGTACTGGAATTATTCCCTGTCCGTAAATATGTTTTAAAATGTTAAATGTTAATATATTTTAGTTTGGATAAAAGTTGATTTTATTGTCAGTATTTAATGCTTTTTTTAAATAGAGACGTTCAAGACACGATCAATTACTCAATAAGTGATATGTATAAAGAAAGTCAATGGTATAATAAAATTTCACGTTGAAAGTCGATCATAAAACAAGTCCAGAGGATTCTCCGACTTTCTAAGACCTGTGAGATCCCTAGAAGGAATAAGAATGCTACCTATAGACTGTAAATGACACTCGGAAGTACTGACGAGATCAACTGGATTTGATACGAGCTATCGAACGAGTCAGACGAACTGCAGCGTTTTTGTATAAATACTGGATTATGTAATTGTATGAAATATAAATTGTAAAAATATATAAGTATATGTTTTGCATATTAGAAGTGGGATAAAACTCGCGTGGCCTAAATGGAGTAATTTATATTAAGTGATAGTGACGTAGTAAAAAAAGATATCAATGTTAGTGATTCACAGTGATGGGACGACATCGTTCACATCATTCATCCGGCAATGAGAAAAGGAAGAAGAAGCACCGATCGAGATCTAGTTCAAGATCGGACGATAGATTAAGAAAGGTACGACGAGAAACGTTTAGATCGGCTGGAATTACTGGTCGACTGTCTGGGTAGATAGTCGCAACCACTTGTATACGTTCCACCTTACGTTCGAACAGGAGACAAACAAATGATCCCTATTTTCGATTCATCTAAGGATGATTTGGTGGTGGACCAATGGACAGCTCATGTGGATCAAGTCGCTAAGCAATATAATTGGGACGACAGGATCATTGTCAGATTAATTACGAGTCGGTCACATGGACAGATATCAAACGTCTCTCTAACTCTCTAGCTCTTCAATTCCTTAAATCCATTCCATTCTGTAGACTTTTTAAGGAGGAGACTTTATGAGGCTAGTCGCTAGGGGATTATTTCATAAATTAAACACATTAAGGAAATTGGACCTCGTCGTACCTGACAAATATCTTATAGATATGGTAATTGGGGAAATAGGCGATTAAAATATCGCATGAATTTTAAGATTTGCTAAACACACGGAGGCGAACGTGCTATGCACGTATATGATATTCCGGAGAGGTGCCGAAAAAGGATAGTGACACTTATTATACTGTCTGTTATAACTGCAAGAACATAGGACATTTTGTAAAAGATTGTAAACGACTGCGAGTATAATAGGCATATTGCAACTCTTGAAGTCAGACTAAAAAGATGCTCACACAAAAAAAGATAAACGAAGTTATTACATGTCGACTGTTTCGTAAAATATGTATGGACAGAGACAGAAAATATGGGTGGACGGTCATAAAGCTGAGATATTAATTAATACAGGAAGTGAGCCTGCAAAGCATAGAAATAAGAAACTACTTTCAAAATATAAAGAGCCGTCTAGTACACGGACTGTCTTGCTAAACGATCGCTATGAAGTGGAAGATTTACGAGAAGGATTTATACGATTACAGACAGTTGTAGCTGTGGACAGAATTAAATTTTGGATCTTGATTCAAGGTGAGTATTAATGTTCGAATCACTAGGTCGGAGATATTAGGCAGGCATACAACGGCAAAAGTCGTAATGGGGACATAGGACATAGGGACTTAAAACTGACTTTGGATAGTGCGAAGGTACTTCAAGATCATGCGACGGTAGAGGTCTTTAGGACTTTATGGTTGACATTAGGTAGTACGAGGGTATTACGCCGAAGCGTTCAAACGATAGTAAAGATTACAATTGTGGCATAAGACACCTTGAATAGTACGAAAGTACTGCTCTAAAGCCATCATACGATAAAGATTGCAAGGACGGCCTAGAAATATGGCTTTATGATTGACTTTGGATAAAATGACGATACCATACGAAAGCAATTATATGGTGTCAGAAAACTATTATGGTATTTTCGGAGTATTTTCTAGCCATTAGTAGCATCTCGGTGACGGAATAATGCTCAAAACAAACGTACTTGGAATATAAAACCTATAAAGAGATCAACTTAGGATATAGATCTTATCTCCTTTTACTAACAGGATAAGTGCATTAAATTCTGAAATATTTAGTTATGCATGCTATAACTATAAAAAGGGATGTTAAGGTTAATCACGACTAATATCGACATGCACTTTTACGTATGTACTTTGGGGCGCAAGGGATCATCCACTCTTATGGGAACAAAAAAGAAACTAAATGATGGATTTGAATTTATTGTATTTTGAGCTCCTATGCAATTCTCGCTTGAGTCAGGAATGTTGAACAACGGCTAAGTGATCTGACTTGAACGATTGAACTGAATAATTAAACTCGAATAATTATAATGTGTAACTGTTATACTGAGTTCTGTGTGATTGACTAATACTCTCTTTTATCGAGGCTTGAATTGCCTTTAAATTGAATTACCCTTTCCAGAAGAGAGCGGGAAATGTGCTAAGATCAATTAGGAAGTAGGGGGAAAGATTTCCAAATTTTTCCATCGCCACTCATGAGAGTGGGGCAGTATTTCTGAGAATGATCGTCTCTAAAAAATTATCTCGTTGCAATCCTTCGAGTACGCACTTATTATGACATGGTGATCTCCATGATGCGGAGGACTTAGTCGCATAGATTGACCCAAATTTATGGCGCCTTGTTTGGAGTTTCCAAGTGGTCAAATTCCCGATTTGCTATGCTAAGTAAGGGGCACATCAATATCATAAGTGTTACGTATCCTTAACACAATATATACAGACAATTATATCATATGATTAAACACAATAGTAAACCAACCTGATTTTATTAAATTGCTAATTTTAATAAATATGTAAAATTGTACATTATTTCCTTTATTTATTATCATTATGAAAAAAAGTGTAATAATTAGATAAATAAATATTATATTTATAACATTCCTAAAACTATTATTATAATTTCTTATAAATAGAACAGATATACGGCAATAATTCTCCTAGTTGATATCCGATAATATTTACACTGGTTTCTTAAGTATGTATAAGAAAAGCTTGTCTAGACTCATGTTGCCGACAACCAAAGGGGGAGGTCATACACTTTACAAATAATTAATTATTAAACTTTATTCCATACTCGATCTTGGCTATAATTTTGAAACAAAATCAAATAGTGTTCTCTATCCATTGTTATTATCCTCACTGTTAAAGTTAATTTAATCTATCAGTGAATCCATACCATTTCATAATGGTACGTTGACTGCATAATATTTTCTCTTTTCAAATATCACATAGATCGCCAGTACCAGAAAAATATTCACCATATTTATAGAATGAAACTGTCATCACTTTATAAAAAATTTCTTCTACATTATCTCCGTGATGATCATCAATATCAATATGTAGAATTTTGACAATATGAACAATTTGAACAATTTCTAATGTTGTTTACATAATAAAAACTAGACTTATCATATTTTTGGCATGATGTAAAGCAAATTTCTGAAACTTGATTGTTAAGTTTTATAACAGCAGTTATCCAGCTGATAATTGACAAAATTCATATAAATCATTAAAAATAAGGCAATATTCTCCTACATCAAATCGTTCTACTTGTTTGTTATATTCTGATATATTAAATTTCAAAAACCTAACATAACCGTCACTAGAATTTTGTCATTTCATCTGCATTAGCTTCATGTGGACGATGTATTTGCATCTTTCTGTAAAGACCATAATTTCAAAGTAAATTATATCATTCTTATGTCATATTACGATGTGGCTTCATAGGATGTTTTTGTTCATAATAATAATTTCCAATATTATAATAGTAGCAAACACGCTTCGTGCTACGTGATAACGTTAATATTTTCATCGACTTTCTCCAGGTTAATTATAAAATATTTGATATGAATCAACGCGGAATATCGGAACTACCCGACAGATCATGATGTTATAATGCATATTATATGTTGTAATTTTATTTCTGTGTCGCAAGCTAAAGGACAATCTTCTTTAATACAACGCAGACTTTTAAATTCTGTAAAAAATATCGTAATATAAGGAAACATTCTATGAAGAAAGTGAACTTGAATTATCATAAGATTTGTATTATTAATGTTCGAGCATTTTTAATGTTGGTTTTTCTTACACATCGCGGAGTAGTTAAATTACGTATGTATAATCTTCTAAAATCTTCTAAACAAAGAACGATTTTTCTTGCCAGCATGAAGAAATTTATTGTATTATTTTTAGATATTTATGATCAAGGGCAACAGCTTGCCCATTTTTTCATGCTGGCAAGAAATCCTAATGTTTACACTCCCTCGTGGCTATTGTGATCGCTCGTTGTTAATCCCGGTTGCTGACCCGCGGACAAGTTTTGCTTCATATCTTCTAAGCATTGATTAAGTCGATGTTTTAATT